CCCAATCGCTTGTATCGTATTTTTTTCTGTATTTTTGACGTGATCGAAATGACTACGAACTAGTATGTAACCATTAATGACAGAGTTACCCGAAAGGTTGGATATACTTTATTTTAGGGAAGTTTTTTTGGGCCGCATGAAATTTTCGGTTTTGTTAACTTCCCTTTTACTTTCTATTGCCATAAACATGAAACAAGAGTGCTGGGTTTGAAGACCTAGTTCTATGAATAGTAATGTAAGTGTTTCAATTGAAATAATCGAGATGAGAATGCTTCTAAGTTCCTCTGAAAGTGAGAAAATGTTGCTTTTTAATTCCCACTACGCGTCATTTTGATCGGAATTTTTATTATTACATTCCTGAATAACTTCTATGTACGTCTTGCCGTTGCTGAAATTATTTTGTGACATTCATGTTTTTGTTCATTTACAAAACAAAATCTGCAAGAATGTGGTGAGGCGGCGGCGCCCACAAAATCGCGTCCGTCCCACGCGACCGAAAAGTGAAAACGGGCACTGTTGTGAATGCGTTGAAGCAACAACTATAGATGCGGTCGAGCCGAACATTCTGTTCTGTGGATGGGATAGAGTAGCCCGCGAGTATCACAGTTGTGCCGTTGTCGCGGCTCGAAAGTGCGCGACAATGGCGCTAGGGTCTTACAAGTGAGCTAATGACGGCTAATGTGAGCTAATGGACGAGATACCTCGCGCACACCCATGACACGCAACGTGGATTACGACGTAGCGGCTAATTCAAATACGCGCGGGTTAGTGGAGCCATGGAGCAAGCAAGTTAGGACAACTCGTCCGGACACGCCCCTCTTTCATTTCAGGGGTTGGGAGGGGCTCCGTTTGAGGGTTAAGGTTTCATCGGTGGATTGCTCTTTTTCGTTTTTTCTTTCATTTTAACTCCTCTCGGCATCCACAATTTTACTATTAACCGTGTTATCCCACCAATTCGATTTCGGATTATTGGTTGAACTTTTGATATGTACATATGTTCCGAAGGCTTGTACATGTATGCTTTTGGACCTGGAAGACAATCGTGTTGCCAGCGAAAGTTATAGAAATCATGTTAGTGAAAAAACATTAAAATAATCTATAAATATTAATAATATTTTCGCTATGCAGCTAAGGTGAAACCGTTGGTGTAACGGTTTGTGAGGGCTACGGTGATATCGCCCAAAAAATGGTCAAATGCCAAGGGGCTTGGGACATGGATCAAGGTACGCCCAATAGATCAGTGCACGCCCACCATGATTCTATCTGTTTATTGCTAGCTATGCTCTGTCGTCGTCTTCCGTTGTTCTCTTGTCTAGCTCTCTTCCTCTTAGCCTCTCCCACAGCATGGAACAAGCAGGCTCAGATTTTCAGTGTTTTTGGCGGTGCCTTTTCCTTTTTCCAACTGACCGTCTAAACAGCATCCCTACTCACATCTTCAAGTGGAATTACCCCATCCACTCGACGGTGAGATGTGCCTTCAAACTCATTCCCTGTCTAGCACGAATATTTTGGGAAAAAGTGCTGTCATCTTCTCATCAAATCCAACTTGGCCTGCTGAGCGAGCGATGGTTTTGAAGGAACCACTGTGAGCAGATCTCCAGGCAGTGAAGTGCTTTCCGTGCATGTACAGCCATGATATTTCTGGCCGCTTCAGCTGCATTTGTGCCTCGAATATTCACAAGGCAGTGTCGTTTTTATCGAGTCGCGTCATGTTTGGTAACAAAAGGAGCGTTCTCATTACCAATGAATTTTGGTGACGAGGGTTGGCTTTTAGCTGCCACCAACGGCAGTACAAGAGACCCTTTCGTAGAAGCAAAGGGCTCGATTTGACTCTCACGAGCTGGGAATCACTATCAGTCCTCCGTCCGGCCAATCCAAACTGGGGGAGTCGTATTAGCTGTTTTTGGAAGGGGATTGTAATTTTGGTCGACCAAAGTCAAGAGATCGAAGGGGATCGCATTCTTTGAAATTAATGGGCTGCGGTTGCGGAAGAGGAGCTCGTTTTTGAGGGTTCTGGTAACCTTCGGCCAAACTTCGAGAAAAAAGCATGGAGGAGAAAAGTAGAGGACGTATTAGCCCACCTCACCCCTCTCGCTTGATGACCGTCTTGCCGTTTTTTTTTGTCTGTTTTTTTTTGGGGGGGGGGTGAGGGACAGGGAAGGAGGAGTGGGCAAAGTTACAGTGCCTGAACTCGTTTTTCAAGTTTTCACATTAAGCATGCTCGGCTGTCAGGATCAAATACCATAGGAACAGCCATGTGGAGAGGGTGGTAGGAGGGGCCATATTAAGACCCTTAAAAGGGGCCGTAAAATTTTTTTTTGGTCGCACGCCATGGTAATCCTGGTGTGAAGTTGCTTACCTGAAAACCGGATGCTATTACCAATACTCTAAATTCCTGTGCCCATGCTGCACGGTTGCTTTCAAGACGAACCATTCGGGTTTGCCCGCGAACCCTTGGAAGCTACACTCTTTGGATTATTGCCCGGGTTGTGGTCCATCATGTTGAGCCAGGTTCAGCGACGCTATCACCATCGACCATAGGAAGTTCAGGGAAGTCGTGCCAAGATCTCCACAAGAGGAATTAGGGGGGGGGAAGGTCATCTGCCCCCGGCCATTTTTTCTCCGCGATCTTCACAGTGACTTATGGAACATGCCCCTAGGGGTGTGATGGATAATAGACCTGACTGGAAAGCAGGGTCAACCGTGCGTTCGTACTATTCGAACGAGGAGGTCGCATTTTTGGTTTTGGGAAGGGGGGTCGCATCAAGGGATTTAGTGGAGGGAGTGGAGGGGAGCGACTTAGATTGTATTTGGTTGAGGATGGAGGTGGAGCTGGTGCAGCGTGAGGTAGGATAGGTGGGAGTAGAGAGAATTCGCCGTTTAATTGCACTAAAAAAGTGGGCGGGGTAGGGTGGTCGCAGTATCAAATACTATGGAGACAGACATGATGACGAGGGTGGTGGTCGGGGATGGTAGTCGTATTGGGGGAGCTTCCTGAGTCACTGGTGGTGGGGAGTCGCACCGAGACCCCCCAAAAGGAGGGGCATCTGGTGAGCCGTAAAGTGAGTAGGGTGATTCATGGGAAGACACTACAATTATGGGCAAACAGGTTCGATCCCGGGCTGACGTGGGTGTTTTACTCACAGCCACCGTCTTGTGATAGGGTTTACGGACTACTTGATTTTTCCTCAATGGTCCTGCCGCGATGGCTAGAGCACAGACGATTAGAGAATGCCCTAGGACTAAGCCTTGGAGAGGAGAGGGACCCGCTAGAGAGCGCAGAGGCGGTAAAGGGCTGACATGAATTCAGGTAGTACGTCAACCGTTGTGATAGCTATCCTCAATGTCGGTTACGCTCCCCTGTAGTTAACCTCAAAATTGAGCCATAAAATTTGGGCACATTTGGGGGCTGATTGTGCATGAAAACATGCTCAATGGACTTATGGCGGTGACTGTATTCGTGAAATTCGTGGACAATTTGGCAACGATGTCACTACGATTTGGTGGATCCACCTCTCGGGTAGTTTTCATACAACCTCGCCGTTATGAGATGATGGATCACAGTTGTCGTCGGACGGCCGGACTGTCGATCGATTAGGAACGCTGCCGGCCCGGCCCGCCCCTAACTCAACGCCGCGGCCACCCTCGCTAGTACTCACACTGCACGGGTCTCCATCCTCAAAGCTCATCACAACAACTCCTAATCCTGCTTGGCTCATGTATTTGAACAAAATGACGTTGGCAAATTTTTCCTATTTTTACATGGCGGTAGTATTCATTATGGGCTCATTTTTAACCTGGAACTAATCCTTGATTAGATAAGAACTGCCCAAAGGGGCTGACATGGCACCTTTCTTTCTCACACCCTGTTGTTGACCGATTACTCGGCCTATGTGGCCTTACATTCTGATATTATTCTACAAAATTTATGCCTATATATCCATATGAGGAAAAATTTCTGTCTCATCCTTTGCAAATTAAAATTTGTAATTTCTCAGCAAACAAAAACAGCAACATCTTTTCTTATTTACACATCTTCTTAAAATGTAAATAATTGTTTCTACGGCCTTTTGCTCCCGATTTCTGCAAAATGGATCAGATTTCAAGTGACCAGTGCTGTTTGCCGTCCTAAAAGGGGCTCATCTTCCAAGCTGAGGTCTGCACTTTCAAGTTGTACTGCTTTCCAGCAGTTGCATGACTTACAGTTCCTTCAATTTATAAGTAGGTATTGATTTCTGAGACAATTCTAACGATTCTCAATGGCCAATATTCTTTGAGAGAAATTGCATTTTGTATTTTTCGCGGGTCTTAAGGAGCCTTTCCTCAACCTCTTGGTGGCATTTCATCTTTTGAAAAATTCCTTCACGTCCCTTTTTCCCCTCAAATTCTTACTCCCTACTTAGCAATGCTTGGAAATCGTATCAGTGATCTATTCACAAAATTGTTTTTGTTTGTGCAGTTCTTTATTAGGCGCAATGTGGCTCCCGGGGGGCCAGCCTGTAATATTGCGTCAGATTCACGGAAACGCTCACTTTTACGACTAAAGCCTTAGCTTAAGCATCTCATTCTCTCCGGAATTCGTCCCTCTTCGTTAGCCTTACTCCTCGTGGTCTTCCCACGGTTTCCTTCCCCCCCCCCCCCGAGGGCACGTGCGCCTGTCACTGTTCCTATTACTAGTCCTTCTAATCAGTTTTCGAGCCTCTTGTTGGGGATACTATAGGAGAGCTTCTGGATTCATATTAAGAAATTGGTATTGATTGAATTTTGGTTTTCCTTTTCGTTTTTTTTTCTTCATGAAGTTCAAATATAGCGTACGGTATCTTTGTCTTACGTTTTCTGTCCTTGGCAATGAATGGCCGGCAGATCCTTTCTATGACTTTTTTCGCAAGTGCTGTTTTGATTCCATTTCGCTTTGCGACCTGTTTATATTGTTTATTTACATTGCGGCCTGTTTACTTTGTTTGTTTGCTTCTCTAGATTGACATTGATTGGTGATACGAATGCCAAATTTTTATTTTTTCTTCAGAAATGGTCAATTGAATGAACGATCGGACATGTTAGACGTACTGGTTTCAATATTCACCTTTTTACCACATTTCAATTTTCACTTCAAGCGAATTCCTAACAACTTTAACCTCACATGGAATAGTGAGTATATGCAGGTGGGATTTCTAAATGTGTACTTCGTTGTTACTATTTTTGGAAACAATTGTACAGTCACCTCTATGGCGCGTGTGCTCCCAATGAACGAATGTAGGCCGAGGTGACCAGAGGTGGAACAGATGTTATCTTTGAGCATCCCTACGAAGGTTTATCTCGATTTTTGCTGCCGAATTTGCAAAAGCGTTCTTTATATATGTTGTGAAGAGATTTCCGTGGCTCTCTGTTCCACGGGTCAATATGAACGAAAATTTCTTCTGGTCAGGGGTAGTTAATGTGCTATTGATATCCCAGTGGCAGGGAGAAAATTGCGGCGTAGAAATGACCGCTGCAGTGCGACCCGCTCCTCACCCTTCTCTCATGATCACTACACTTCTCTGGTTCAATAACTGAACCTAGTTTAAGCTCGCAATCCAACTCCATATACAAAATTGCCAATAACCATCGAGCGGGGCGGGGGTGTATGTGGCAAGGGTGTGGGTTCGCTAGGACAAAGCGACTTTTTGCTTTTCGCAGCGCGAAACATTTTTCGCTCCAGGAGCCTTAGGTCCACCGCTGAACATGCGTAGACTTGGAGTTCCTGCAGCGATTAGGTTTTGGTTGCGTAACACGGAAGACACTTTTGTTCTAGCGAATGGCAGTTGAAACGGCAAATTTTACAATTTTATCCTCTGCGGCGCTCATATCGTTAAGGGGAGAGGGGGTGGGGGCATTTAAGTGAGTGACCCCCTTACTGTACGTAAGAGTAGGCCCTATAGAGGGGAAGGGATTCTGAGGGAATGTGAGCAATTTGTTCTCCCTGGCGTCTCTCCCCACTCCTGGCCTTATTAATCCTAATGTCACTATTACCGGTTTTTGAATGCTTGTTTTGAATGTCCTCCAACGACATGAGGGCCATTTTTCGCACAGATGCAGTAAATTGACGAGTTCCTGCTGTATAAAGCCATATATACCCCGCTTTCAATTACACATGGCTCAACAGAACCGGAACTTGTTGCACTTGTGCCATCTCGGACCCTCATGCTTATTTTATCTGAATATGAAGCCCCGGTAAGCTCTAAAGGCTTTAAAAGTTCATGCAAAACAGAACTAAAAAAGTTCCAAATGAATTCTTTCCGTTTTTTTTTCGTCTATTTTCGAACCAACACTTAAAAATTGTAAGTAAATTCGAAGCTAAAAATCCTTTTAACATTTCTATGTTTTTGTTTTACAGTAAACTTTTGAAAGCTCTCGGTGTACAATATTCGTATCGTAACAGTGATTCATGCATGAAAAAGTCTTCAAATGCTATCAAAGCTATCCCTTCTGGAATGTTTTGGATTACTGGTTGATGAGCTGTCCGGAAATCGTTAAGCTAAAAACCATTCGAAAAGATCGCGAGCAACAGCATCACAATGACCACCCTATTTTTTGGATTTCTGAGAGATAGAGAGAGCGCTAGATCGTGTAAAAAGGTGATTTAAAGGGTAGAATCATGGGCTGGACAGCTATTTACTGCTACTCTTATTGCATTCCTGAATGACATTGTAAAGTGGACAATCACCAACAAAAACGTTTATAAACCAGTCTTCTATAACATTCCTAGATTAATGTGCTTACAACATAGGATGAGTGAATAATTAGGCAGTAAGTGCGTCATCTGTAAAACGTAGCTAATTTGTAAATGCCTTTGTCGGAAAATGCTGGGGGGGGGGGGGTGCAGGGTCAACCGTCCGTTCGAACAGTTCGAACGGGGGGGGGGTCGCATTTGGGCTCTGGGAGGGAAAAGGGGGTCGCATTTGGGCTCTGGGAGGGAAAAGGGGGTCGCATTGCGCGCGCTTTGGTCATCAGGCAGGGCAGAGGTGTGTGTGAAAAAAAGCAAAAAAGTTGCCGTTTCAGTGGTGTATATAGGGGATGGCTGGTGTTGTATTGGGGGGTCGCA